AGTTTGTTACTTGAAATCTGAAAACACCCTTAGTATAAAAAGAATCACACTCCAAATTCTTCAAATAATAAACATGTTTTTACTTTTCTCACAATTTTCAAAATGTGAACATTCTGTAACTCAGCCTCTACTTCCAGGTAACTTCTTCTCTGGGTCTCAATTCCCTGTGTGGAAAGAAAAAAGGATAAATAGAACTTTCATGAAGAGGTAAAAGGGAAAGTCAAAGGAGTATGAATTCAGTATTTTATATTCTATTAAGCTGACCCATTTTAAAGACTTCATGAGATTCAACATACTCATTCTATCCTCATGATTTTAAACTTTTACTCCATCTTCAACTGCATCTTTCCAGACTAAAAAATTTTAATTTCTTAGTCAAGCTTTATATGAAGCCTGTTATCCCTTCAATGATTTCATTTGTTTTCTGCTCCCTTTCCAGCTCATTTTACCTTTTGAAATCCCCGATGTATGAATCATCTCTATACATTAATTGGGGCTGATGCGCAAGTCTCTTGCTGGAGCTTCTTCCTACCCAGAGTGTATACCCCACTGGCAAATACTCTGCCTAAAAGCCTCAATTAACCTGTCACCATCAAGTTGATTCTGACTCATAGGAACTTTATGACAGAGCAGAACTGCCCCATAGGACTTTGAAGGCTATAGATCTTCACAGAAGCAGACTGCCACGTCTTTCTCCCACAGTGGCTGGTGGGTTCGAACTGCTGACCTTCCATTTAGCAGCTGAGCTCTTAACCACTGCACCACCAGGGCTCCTTGTCTAACTCTAACTCTCTGGCTGGAAGAGATGTCTCTAGAGACACAATGGGGCCAGGCAGCTGCCAGTTGCTACTGGATCATTCAACCACCATGTTTGCTTAAAGATCTCTTGTGGAGAACATAGCCCTTGGCTGCAATTTTTATTGAAGCAGACTTTCAGGTCATTCACCTACAGATGATAGGTGGGTCTGAACTACCAACCTTTCGGTGAACAACTGAGATCTTAACTATTAAGCCTCAGAGCTCCTTAAGTTACTGTTAATACTACTACCTATTTCAGTTCAGTTCAGCTATAAGAACCCTTGTAGCACAATGGGTAAGTGCTCAGCTAACTGAAAGGTTGGCAGTTTGAACCTACCCATGGCTCTATGAGAGGAGAGACTTGGAGATCTGCTCCTGTGGAGATTACAGAAAACCTCATGGGATATGTGGTGCAGTGAATTACTTAATATGGGCCTCTAGCCATAGTCTTTGTAATTCCTACCAAATGACTGGGTAGGACTATGCAAATGAGGTGCCTGTGGCCCACTAAGGGGACTGGATATCTTTCTAATAATGTGAAGTGATATACAGTATACTTGTGGGGGTGGGACCATGGAAATAAAGTGTATGGAACACTGAGCAGGGAATTGATCAGTTTTGCTGTCCTGCAAGGCTTAAAAGAGAACCAATCCCAAAGCACAGAAGGGACTACTATCATGAAGAAGAGACAGGAATGGAACACTTCCTTTGGTCCTGGGGTCTCTGCACTAAGAACCTCCTAAACCCAGGAAGCAGAGAGCTGTGACACCAGAGACAGCAAGAGATGGTGAGAAGCAGCAGCAGCAGAGCCAGGAGAAGAGCAGGAGATGGTGTGGTGGGCTTCCCAACCCACAGAGCAAGAGAGGTGAGTGCCTGTGGGCACACACTTACTGGCAGAGTGGGGTGCTTCTGGGCACTGATTGGCAGAGCTGAAGAGCTTTGTAACACTTTACCAAGCAGGGTAGAGGCTTGGCTGGCCCAAGAGGCCAAAGGCCAGACAGAAGCCTATCTATAGGTATGGCTGAGAAGAGGCTATTCTGATCAAAGAAATATATCCTGAGTTGTTTCTGAACCTGAGTTGTAACCCGTTACTTCCCTATAAACTCCGTAATTGTGAGTTTTGTCTGTGAAGTCTGTGTGGTCATTACAATGAATTATCAAACATAACAGAGAAGTAAGGCATTTGACTGCTAACCAGAAGGGTGGCAGTTCAAACCCATCAGCCACTCCTTGGAAGGAAGACTGGGCAATCTACTTCTGTAGAGATATCACCTCAGAAAACCAAGGAGGGGTCGTGATGAGTCGAATCAACTTGAAGGCAGTGAGTTTGTGTTTTTTTAATTTTCTTTTTAGCAGAGAAATAGAGAGAGCTGTGGAAGAATGGATGGTGTTAAGAATTGGTAAAAAGTTTGGAGAAAGGAGGAATGTCTGACCTCTGCTTCATACGAGTAAGCCTTAGGCTGATATAGATGGTTAATGTGAACTCAGAGCTCAGATGCCTCCACCCTGCCATTTTTATAGGACAGTTCCATTCTGTCACATTGGGTTGCTGTGAGTCAAAAATCAACTTGATAGCACCTAACAACAACATTTCAGGTACATACTTAAGTAAGATAGCACATGATAATATATGTGAAAGCACTATATAGGGTAGGCTTTAGAAAGCTGTTTAAAATTTTGTTTCTATGGTAAAATGTACTCTGAATTCCAAAAAATGGGACTTCCAAAGACTAGAAATCATCTGTTCATAAACTGAAGACAGTTTATATTCCAGAGGTAATTAAACAGTTTTATCAAAAGATTAGATCAATAGGACTAAATGGTAGTATCTCTTGAATGGAAGTCCTCACCAGGGAAAGTCATCCCTTCTGTTTATTTTTGGCACATGTGACATCAGTAAGAATACTCCCCCAAATCTGGTCAGTTGCTAGTTTAAGAAAATGCAGAAGCTAACCTTTTAAATAACATACTCTTGTTCCGGAAGGCAGTTAGTTTTTTGTCATTCCTTTTGTCTAGATAAAATCCGATAACAAATCCCATAGGGACAAGTACATGAACCCAGTGGTCACGCATCACCTGAAGTAAATTCATCATGACTGCCAAAAAAAAAGAAAAAGAAAAAACAAAAAATCAAAATGAGAGATTATCAGAAATATATTGCCTTTGAAATATCTTTGAAATCTCATCTGGAACAGAAAGATAGCCCTGGAAATAGGATAGATGTTAGAAGGACAAACCTCTTCAAATTGCTTGGTACCACAATATAGGACAGTACTTAAAAAATGAACATGCAAAAGCTGCCTACTTGCATCCTCATTATATTGATTTAGAACTTTTACATGTGTGTTTAGAACCTCTCAGTGGTAAAACAAGTATAATAATGATATTTTGCCAGAACTGGAATTCTTTAGATAAGGTGATAAATTATTAAAAAGTAATTTTTGAAAGGAAACAAAAAGACAGAGATTTTAAAAAGCACACACACTCCATAATACCACAGTAGGTC